ACACCCCGGCCCGTCGCCCCAGCCCTCCCCCTGGGCGGGGATCCGCCCGCCCGCCGTCAGCTTAGGTTGAGGCTCCCTGCGTGTGTCTATAACTTTGTGCTGCTGCCGCGGCCGCCCTGCTTGGTGAAAGGAGGAGGAGGAATGTGGAAGGCGGCGGCGCGCAGGCTGACAGGCGGCTCCTCGGGCGGGCTGCGGCGCCAGCGGCCAGAGCGTTTCCCTTTTGCCGAGGCTGCGCGCCCCCTCCTCGCCGTGCCCCAGGCCCGCGCGGGATTGTGCGTCCTCCTGCCTCATCCCTGAAGGGAAGGAACCGAGGTAGGCGCCGGAGCTGTGCAGCGGGGCGGCCACCACCTTCCCGGTGACTCCGGATCTGCTTCCGAGCTGGGCCAGGCGCTTCCCTTTTCCCTCTCTGTGACTCAGTGTGTGCGGGCCCCCTGCTCTCCCGCTAGTGTTTTTAAGACTTGAGTGAAGGGAGAAAAACTGTCAAGATGGCAGCAGCGGGAGCAAGGAGGTGATGAACGGGCTGGTCCGGGTTTTCTTGAAGCCCAGTAGACTTGGCGCTTCCCGACCTGTTGGAAGATTTATGCACCGATTTGCCCCCTCCCTTTTCTTTCCTGGGGGGTGGGGGGGTGGAGAGGGGCGGGGAGCACGACGTCCACGGGGAAATTAAACCGCACAAACCTCAGAGCGGTGGTCCCTGCCCGGTTCGACCCATTGCAAACACTCGCTGTGCTTCTTGTCCTCTTTCTCCTTCCCTCCCCCCAAATGACAAGGGCCCGTGGAGCTCCGACTCTTAAGGGGCAGAAAGGAGCCAGTCGCGCCGATTCTATGTTTAGGCCCCTCCACCAGGCGGGGTACAACAGGGGGGCGGCGGGGTGGCCAGACTGGGGAAGGGGAGTAGAGCCCGAGACACCACAGACTTTGGCGGCGCTACCGCGGGGAGGCACTTGAACGGGGCCGAGCGAAACATAAACAAACGCACGCTCGCCCGGGCCAGGGCTGCGACCGCGACGGGCTGCGCCAGCGACGACCGCTGCCCACTTTAAAGGCGCGGCGCGCGCCCCTCCCCCGCGCCCGCCCCCTCCTCCCCGCCCCACCACCTAGCCCGCGAGAGACCTGCAGATCTGGCGGCGGCGGCGGCGGGGGGAGGGGGCTGCCCCGTGCCAGCCCGTCGATTCGCTCTCGCCTCTTCCGTGGCCTGGCCAGGGGGCGGTGTCTGCTGCGCCAGGTTCGCGGGACGCACGTCTCCAGGTTCGCCTGCTCCTGCTGGGCGGGCGCGGTGCGGTGCCAGAGGCGGCGGCGACGGGCAAGGACTGAGCTCCAGCCCGGGATAACCAATTCTTCTCTCGTGCTTCCCCAGGCGGCAGCGGCGGCGGCAGCGCTGCTTGGGAGCCCGAGCCTTCGCGGCGCCCGCATTCCCTCCCCCGCCGCACCCTGCCCGGGAGAGAAGGGGAGATCGAGAGAGCCCGAGCCGCGGGCGGGCGGGCGGCGAAGATGGCAGAGACCCCCGTCTCTCCGACCCCGCTCTCGCCGCTGGAAGTAGAGCTGGACCCTGAGTTCGAGCCTCAGAGCCGGCCGCGCTCCTGTACATGGCCCCTGCAGAGGCCGGAGCTCCAAGCAAGCCCAGCCAAGCCCTCGGGGGAGGTGGCCGCTGACTCCATGATCCCCGAGGAGGAGGACGATGAAGACGACGAGGACAGCGGCGCCGGTGGGGCAGGCTCAGCCATGGCGATCGGCGGCGGTGGGAGCTGCACGTTGGGCTCGGGGCTGCTCCTTGAAGACTCAGCCAGGCTTCTGGCTCCGGGAGCGCAGGACCCCGGATCCGGGCAAGCCCCCTTGGCGGGTGCGCTGAGCGGAGGAACGCAGACACCGCTGCAGGCTCAGCAGCCGTTGCCACCGCCGCAGCCGGGGGCGGCTGGGGGCTCTGGGCAACCGAGGAAATGTCCGTCGCGCCGGAACGCTTGGGGAAACCTGTCTTACGCTGACCTGATCACCCGCGCCATCGAGAGCTCTCCTGACAAACGCCTCACCCTATCCCAGATCTATGAGTGGATGGTGCGCTGTGTGCCCTACTTCAAGGATAAGGGCGACAGCAACAGCTCTGCGGGCTGGAAGGTGCGTACCCACCCCGGGCGGAACTCGCAGGGCCTTCTGCGTGCGCAGCGCGAGACGAGCCTCGGGTTCTTCCGAGCGCGCCTCCGGGCGCTGGGGAGAGGGGCTGGCAGTGGGAGCTTCTGCTAAGAGGCTTTGAGGTTCTCTTTGTGACTCCTGAAAGACGGTTACATGGGGACGGCAGTGGAGGGAGGGAAGGAGGCTCTTGGGAAAGCGTTGGGGATAGCCAGGTGAGAAGGACAAACAGATAAGAGTGCATCTCCTGTACTCCAGGGCAGCGCAGAGGAGGTAGGTCCGGTGGAGATAGGTAGTGGGGGCTGCTCCGATGCTGTGAATGGGGTGTAGAGCTAAGGAGCAGAGTTGGAGGCTACCTCTGCGGAGTTGCAGTGGGATGTATGATTTCCAGTGGCTCTTAAAAGCATGCTGCGTGGACTCAAATGACTACTTGAGAACCTTTGGGACCAAGTTTGTGTGTGAACTTCACCAGGCACATAGATCCCATTAGGAACAACAGCGGTTGCAAACCTTTCTCTGACCAAGCACCCTGTCTTAGTTTGTGTGAACACCGTCGCTCCTCAGGGATGACAGCGTAGGAAGCTTGCAGGAAGTCTCCCCAAGCGTTATGGGTCCTGGAAAGAGCCAGCCCAGCCACTTCTGCGCAGAGTGGCGCACCTGCTGATCCTGCAGAGGCCTGATGCTGGCGCTGTGTGCCTGTGTCCAGGTGTGGATGCCTGAGGGCCTCTGCTTTACCTAGATCAGACGGAGGGAGGTTGGTGTCAGGGCTTGGCTTCTACCTGTAAGTGAACCCTAAGAAAGACTCTGCTGTTCCTTTTCAGCCTCTTGGGGCACCAGACACGTGGTAGGGAGAGAGGTGTGGAAAGACCTATGATGTAATGACTTCCTGCAGTTGGGCATCCTAAGAGATTAACTCTTCTGCCCCTGCGGGGCTGCTGATACCCAGCTTTTTGCTCTTTCTGAGCACCCCACCCTTCCTGGCTCCTTCTTCCAAGATAGGAGTGTGTCATTCACTACCGGGTAGAAGACAGCTCTTCATCATTCTTGATAGACATCACTTATCAGCATTTTACTATATGTGATGCATTTCTTTTTTTTTTTTTAAAGGGGCAGTTGTTTCCTCCTTCTGGCCCTTCATTATGTTAGAGGAGCTCTGTGCATTCCTGGTTCCATTCAGCAACCAAAAACCAGCTTATTGCTGTCAAGTAGAACCCTCTGACAGCTTTTCAGCTTTTCACTGGCAGTAAAATCAAGGGGGAGGGGAAGAGATGTTGTCCACCTTTCTTGAAGAGCAGCTGATGAATTGAAACCATGCCTTGTGTATTGGCAGTGCAGTTTCTTACACATATGGTTATGAGAGCTCCCCTAATGGGTTCTATTGTTGATCTGTGCTGTAGGAACTGACTCTTGGTTGACCTCCAGCAGGTTTGCAGTGGCAGTTAATTATATGGTAGGAGATTACCCATCCTTCTTTTGTGGAGCAGGTGGTGGATTTGAACCATACAATTTTGGGACTGCAGTGCAGTGTCTAGAACAAGAATAGATTTAACTTGGTGGGGAAATAGATTGAAATGTCTTAAAGAAGACTAAAGAATTCAGTGCACTGAACATTTTATCTTCAAGGGAACAAACCTTAGATACAAAGTATCTACTTTCTTTGCTTGTTGCTCCTGCAAAGACCATGTTTGGATACCTTAAAAAGTACATATGTGTTTCTGTATTTTTCCACAAATTAGAATAATTTCTTTTTATACCTAATACATTATAAATCTCATATTTGATTTAAGTTTTTTACTTTACAGAAAGAATGCAAATTAGCTCCTATCAAAGTAGAGCTAACATGATACCTTTTAAAAGTTGTTTTCCCAACTCTTTGGCAGGGGTTAATTTCAATATACAGTGTCAAGAGAGGGTGTGTATATATCATTTAAGATGAATTTGTAAGTCTGGAATATTTTTGAAATCCCCCCTTTCAAATTTAGTCCTGCATGTCCAGAGAATCTGCTAAAAGTTTAGCTAACTTTCCATAAAGTTAGCATACTGATAATTGTCACTTTTATATAATTTTTAAGATTATAAGAATAACATTTTATTCTGTTGTGTTTAAGATAACTTTAATAGCATTTGCATATTTAGACTTTTTTCATTAGAAACTGGCATCTCTAAACTCAGCCAGACCCACTGCCATCACGCTGATTCTTATTCATGGAGATTCTCTGTTAGGGTTTTTGAGGCTGCAGGTCTATACAGGAAAATACTCTATCTCCTCTTGGGGCGTCTGATGGATTTGAACCACAGACCTTAGCAGCCTAACACTTAATGTACTATTCCACTGAGGCTTCTTGAAAAGTGGTCTTTAGTTGAGACTTTCTTTCTTTAGTTAAGATTTATTGTCAGATAGCTTGTAGGATTTATAAGAGATTTGGGACTAATCATAACTGTGATTATATGTTGTTTCATTATTCCTTGCATGTACTCTCCTCTTTCTTAAAAACCTTTTTGAAATACTATAAATTGAAATATATGTTTAATATAGGCCACCCATTTGATTATTTTTGTTTTCACTTTAACTGTTTCTGGAATCTAGTGGGAGGCTGCTTTCTGACTTCTGGTGTTTCTGGTCTGCATACCTCTGTGAAATGGAGAGTGGGGAATCCTCATGCCACTAACCCCACTACAATTTTGATAAATTATATCAAATATATATAAAATAAATCTTATCCCTGCTGTTCAGAATTCCTTACACTCTTTCAACCAAAATAATATTCAAAGGAGAGAATAACTTGATCTTGAAAGGGTTAGAATTTTACCCTATTTCCTTTTCTCAATATCGTATGACAACTAATCCTTGAAGACTGTAGCGATGTAATTTGGTTCAAGAGTTTTTGTAAGATGACCTTCCTCAAAAGATGCAGCCATGCAGGAACTTCCAAATCTTTGATGGTGGAAAAGAGCCTTTGAAACTGGCACTGGTTTCATATTCTGATTATGACTAATAGCAAGACTTTTTTTTTTGCTTTGGTTTAGTGGGGGTGTAAGAAGAGGGAAAGGGAGAGGTCAAGAGCTAATTGTGACCCATTTCCATGCGTCCAAGTGATTAGTCATTTTGGAAACAATGCATGTGCATTTAAGTCATGCTCCTTTCATTCTGAGGTTGCATTAAGGCTTTAATTTCTGAAACAGTCTAGATTCCAGGTAAACTTAAGTCATGTGTGCGTACAGGACACAATACACAGGTGTAGGCATTACTTCTTTTGCAGCTGTTCACCAATGCGTTGTAAGATCCTTCTGTAAGCAGAATTATCACCCCAGGATCATAGAATGAAAGAACTAGGGAAGCGGGCTTGGAGATCAGAACCCAGAACAGTGGTTCTCAGGTCTGGTCTTACATTAGAATCACCCAGGGAGTTTTCATAATAAAGGGAGGGAGTTCAGTATCCAGAAAATCAGATTAGATTAGGCTACAGACATAGCATTGTTTTTGTTTTTAAGTTTCAGATCATTCCACTACACAGTAAAGATGAGGGTTGCTGATCTAACCACCTCCTTACTTCATAGGTAAAGAACTTAATTCCTACAGATTAGTGATTTAAGATTATACAACTAGCTGGTACAGAGGGAATTAGAGTCTCACATTCTAGAGGGCATTACCCATTATTACATTATTTTCTCACTTTCAATTGAGACTTTTGAAAGATCTTTAACTAAAAAATGAGTTACCTTACATGAGTAGAGTTTGCTTCCCGGAAAAGTTTCTTTCTTCTCAATCTAAAAATATATAAATAGAGGCCAAATATATTGTGTTTGTAAAACTGTCCAGTGCATGCCAGTCTAGGTGCTCAGGAGCTGCATCAAGAAATAAAGCATTTTATACACTGATAGACAGCTGAGTTATTTCCTCCTATTGATTATTGAGAGTAAAGCTAGTATTGTGTTGTGTACCATCGAGTTGGAACCAACCCGTAGTTGACCTTCTGGTGGGTTTTCAAAGGGAGTTAATCACATGGGAGGAGATTGCCTCTCTTTCTTATGTGGAGCAGCCTGTGCCTCGAACTGCATGCCTCTGGGATTGCAGTGCAGCTTCTTGCTGCTAGGCCACCAAAGCTCCTGAGAAGTGTAGCATTTTAATAGATGGAAGATTTAGTAAACTTAGAGATGTATCAGATGTGTAGGGAGGTTGAGGGGCTGGAACAGTGGTTAAAGCCCTCAGTTGTTAACTAAAAGTGAGGCTTTGGTTGTACTAGCCCTCCAAGGGAGAAAGCTATGGCAGGACCTGTCCATAATAAGCCGAGGTACTTCTGTGGGGCAGGTGTGCTCTGTTGCTGTGAGCTGAAAGCACTCCACGCCCATGGGTTTTTTTGGTTGATCAGATCAGCTATGTATTATGCCATGGAGAAAGGTGATAGCTATCTCACAGGTTCCCTTACCTCAGGTATTAAAGTAGAATTGAATAATCAGATGCGGTTAAGAAGGGAAAAGGTTACATTTCCTTTCTTTCAGATTAAGCTCACTCGCACTGAATTTATAATTGAACTCATTCCTTCTACCTTGTACTTTCTACCAGAGTTTTCTTGGATGCTTCCCGGTTATCACTTACCCCTGCTGCCCACACTAGCATTTTCCATGGGTCAAGACACTATCACATTAGACAACTATAGACTTATGTAGTGACTCTCCAGTTTTACAGGTACAAGATGCTCCTACAGCCAAACATAATACGTTTAAGAGACAGTCTTGCTTTAAATGTCTGCCCTTATGGTTTCTTCTGAAAGCAGAAAGAGACGAGAGCTAAGCTGTTACGTAATGTTATATATGTCCTCATAGTTTCAGTTCTTTAGATCAATGCATCTAGTTCTTTTCAAAATACTGGACTGTGCAAATTTTTACTACAGTCTTTTAAACTTTCAAAAATTACAGTTATAATAGTTGCATGGTGCCTTGTGAATGACCTCGGTCATGTCTTAGTGTAACTCATTAAATGGCCAGTT